AAGTAAAAAATGTCTAAGGCAGTCAGTGAACGAACAAGAAGAATTCTACAAGTTACCCAGCCTCCGGAGAGCGATGATGAAGGTACACATTTTAGTAATTTTTTTGGACGTTTTGAAAAACATATTTAATTTTAGAATTTACTGATGAAGACCTTGAAGATCCATATTCCTCCGATTCGTTGGTAGATCCTGACTATAGTGTGGATTCCGAATATGAATCACAAGATAACGATGTAGAAGAAGCAGCTAATATTAGTTGGAAATATGTTTTTTAATTTTTTTCTACCAAACAATGTTAAATTTATTTTATTTCAAAATGAAAATTACAATTTACATGTTCAACAATTTTATTCCATGGCTACCATACTAACATATATATGAACATTTATTAAAAAAAAAAAATTGAAAATTATTATGATCAGTCAAGTTTAGTGGACCAAGCGGTCCATCCTATGCGACTGTATGCTCCAAATGAGCGGTCCGTTGGCCTGCACTTGACAAAAAGTAAATTTGAAGGTAGCGGTCCCTAGGGACCGCCGCGGCCCCAAGGACATGGCGCATAGCCATAGCCATGGCGTTAATCGACCGAAAATTAGTGTCAAATAGTAGATAATCTTCCGCTAGTTACGATTCTGAAAACGCCGTCACGATATCTGGTCCAATAAAGCCGAAAAGTGAATTCAAAATTTCCAAAAATTTTCCAAAAACGTGGTTAAAATTGGTTTAATCGGCCGAAAATTGGTGTCAAATTGTAGATAATCTTCCGCTAGTTATGAATCTGAAAACGCCGTCACGATATCTGGTCCAATAAAGCCGAAAAGTGAATTCAAAATTTCCAAAAATTTTCCAAAAAAGTGCTTAAAATTGGGTTAATCGACCGAAAATTGGTGTCAAATTGTAGATAATTTTCCGCTAGTTAGGATTCTGATATCGCCGACACGAGATCTGGTCCAATAAACACGCAAAGTGAATTTAAAATTTCCAAAAATGTTCCAAAAAAGTGGTTAAAATTGCATTAATCTACCGAAAATTGGTGTCAAGGCGTAGATAATCTTCCGCTAGTTACGATTCTGGAAAAACCATTGGAGTTATAGAAGAAATGAAAGCGGATATGACTTCTGCGACCCGAAATCTACAAGAAAATATATTTAGTGAAATTTCGAAAATTTTTTTGAAAATTGGTGTTATTTTGCATATTTTTCAATATTTCAAAGGACGATTCTGGGAAAACCATTGGAGTTATCGAAGAAATGAAAACGGATATGACTTCTGCGGCCCGAAATCTAGATGAAAATGTTTTAAGTGAAATTTCAAAATTTTGTTGAAAATTGGTGGGAAATTGGTGTTATTTTGCATATTTTTGAATATTTCAAAAGACGATTCTGAAAAAACCATTGGATTTATCGAAGAAATGAAAGCGGATATGAGTTCTGCGGCCCGAAATCTACAAGAAAATGTATTTAGTGAAATTTCGAAAATTTTGTTGAAAATTGGTGGAAAATTGGGCGTATTTTGTATATTTTTGAATATTTCAAAGGACGATTCTGGAAAATTCATTGGAGTTATAGAAGAAATGAAAGCGGTTACGACTGCTGCGACCCGAAATCTACAAGAAAATGTATTTAGTGAAATTCTCCAGCGGGAGTAACTATGACTCCGGAGGGAGTAACTTTTACGAAAGAGAACGGAAAAGGACGAAAAAGTCGAAAAAGGACGAAAAGTGCAAAAAGAGTACAAAGAATTTTGGGGGAGAGTAACTATGATTCTTCGGTGGGAGTAACTATGACTCTCCGGTGGGAGTAACTATGACGAAAAAGGACGAAAAAGGAAGAAGCAGGCCGTTTTGTTTTTGGGTTTTTTGTTTTTTATTTTTTATTTTCGATTATTCGTTTGGTTTGTTTATTATAATAAGTTATTTTTCTTGGTGTTGAAAATTGTATTTAACAAATTGGCTTAAATTTTAAAATCGTTGGAAGATTTTGAACAAAGTTTTTAACTTATCTAATACATTTCTTGTATTTGTTGATAAACTATGTATTCTACCTTTTTCCGTAAAACAAAAGTAAAATATAAATTTATTAAGAAAAGATAACTGCTGGACAATCGAAAAATAAAAAGTTAATGTTGGACGTTGGAGTACTAAGCAGTGTTTAACACCAATTTTACCTGATTTTTGAGAATACTTCAACTGCTTACACTACTTTCTAGGATCTTTTTTTATTTCCTAATAATAAAAAAATTCTTAAAAACAAGAACATTTAGTATATGGTTAACCATTAAGAAGTAACAAAGAAAATACCTTAAGCGTTCTATGATTTCGGCACTCTAAGGGTACCTTTTTATTATCAATAATGAAATCACTTCCACTGCAAAGAGGATATTAAATGACACCGTTTAAGATGAGGGAATTGGCAGGAAACCCGACAGTTATCGTACAAAGGGCAAATGAAAGTGCGTATAAAATGAGTTTTTCTGTCATTTCAGTAGCAAGTGTTCCTTGTTACGGTTCACTTTCGAGTACATGGCTTGCGCCGGGATTGTTTGCTCATCTTGTTCTTGCGCAGGAGCCTCATGTGCATTATGTGAGTTCGGATTTTTACCTACAAGCGGCAAATTATTTTGTTGTAATTTTCATAACGAGTGGTATACGAACGTTCAACAAGCGGAGTTAGTTCCCAACCGCTCCGCTACTACATTAAAATGTACACATTTGGCGAGTGATCACTAGAGAGCGGATTTCTGTCGGGCTAGACAAGGCCAAACTCGGTACGGCTCGTACGGGTTGGGAATTCATTGCAGTTACCGGCTGCACTTCGTTTATTTGAGATTAGAATAACGCTGCTTCGTTGCACTCTGCTGTTAATTCCAGTTCTCATTTAGTTAGCCGTTTGATTAATAAATCGTTAATTGTATTTATGGAATCAAGTGACAATTAAATGCAGTGATTACCTATGACCCGCTACTGAGTCCCGGCGATGCAGCGCGTCCCCACTAAAATCGTGACGTAGCCCGACAGAAATCCGCTGTCTAGTGATCACTGATCAGACCGGACTCGGAAATATGGACCGACGACTTAGGTCCTACAGAGTCCTCCGAATATTGAGTGGAGCGTCCTCATATGTTCATCAAACAGTTAACCATAGCAGCTTTTTTGAAGATCCAACAACAGGGGTCTGTACTAATCAAGTCGAAGGGTACTGAGGAGGATGAAAAGTTTTATCACGAGGTTGGGTGCCATGAGTTGTCCCTTTTTGCCAGAGTATTAGATCAACTGGGAGCGCTATTGCGCTTCAGTTGACGAACTATTTCAACATTTCATTCACCACACTGCTGAAAGATAGATTTCCCTAATCTTTCTAGTGTTTTCCTTGGGGATTTTTTTTTCAGGGGAAAGACGTAAACCCCCTCTTTCTGGTATCACTGCAGGTTTTCAGAGGCCATTTGTGGTGTTTTCTGAAATTTCCGTTAACATCCGCGTTGGTACCCTTATTAGCGTATCGGAACCGCGTCTATTTCGTTAAACGTTCGAATCAAACATTTTAAAACTCAAAGGTATGTATTATATTGATGTAAATGTGACATTTTTGTCAATTTTTGACAAATTAGATTTAACTGTTTCTAAGGAAATAATCATCGTAGTTCCAGAATTTTCACAACTACCTTAGAAAAAAAAAAGACAACGTCGGCAGTTCTCAAAATGTGGAGACTGATTTTTCGATACGCTTTTTAGAAAAAACTATTAACCTTTAAAAAAAGTGTTACTAGCATTTTTTTTCTTCTCTTCTTCAGGAACCTACCTTCAAATTTTGTTGCAAGCATTCCCTAACACGCTGAATTTCAAGGGACGATTCTGGAAGGGCCATTGGAGTTATCGAAGAAATGAAAGCGGAAATGACTTCTACGGACAGAAATATACAAGAAAATGTATTTGGTGAAATTTCGAAAATTTTGTTGAAAATTGGTGGTATTTTGCACATTACTGTAAATTTCAAAGGACGATTCTGGAAGAACCATTGGAGTTATCGAAGAAATGAAATCGTCAAAAATTCGAGTTTCGTACCGATTCCTCGCAAAATTTTGCTCCGTGACTATTAATACTCTATCTTTCTGGAATCAGCATGTCGAGATCTACATCCCTGAATTTTTTCACAATTTTTAGACAACTTTTTTAAAAGTGATTTTTTTCCCTTGACTTGCCACAGACATTGGTTATCCAAACCCGGTAGACATAACAAACTTTCTTCAAGAAAAAGTGCATAGTGGCATTGTGTTATCAAAAGTTTGTCCATGGCTGTTACTCCGCTTCCAGGAACACTTTTTTTATTATTGTTCTCATATTTACATAATAACTTTTTTTGGTTTTGTTCAGTTGTTTTAAATTTTAGACTTTTAAATGAATTGTATTCATATTTCATATTTTACCGTTTTTACTTCCCGAGCGTAAGCAAAGGAAGTATTGTAATCGAGTCCGTCGGCCGACTCTCTACTTTTACATTTTCTCGATCTTTCATGACCCTTAGAAGACGAAGAAATAGGTCTCCCGTTTCCGTCTGTCTGCCGTCCCGGATTTTTATTAGACAGATTATCTCGGAAAGTACTTAAAGTTCAAATTTTCTACTTTCTGCGCGACATATCTTAGACCTGATTTAAATAAATACTTAATAACAATTAAAAAATATGCAAGTAGAATGAAATATTTGTTACAGTGCAGTGATGGGATAACTTATACATACTTACTCAACACAAAAACTTGCTTCAGTGAACTACAACAGTTCTACTAAAAGTAACATCTAAGCACAGGTAAGACAAATCTAGTATCATTCATGATTGTTGAGTATGATGTGACAATAACTGAAAAACCACATAAATACATTTTTATAAAATTTCGAATTTACACTTAATCTGAAGATTGTACATATATGGACAGTGAAGAGCAAGATCGTTATATGTTTATTTGAAATCTCAGCATCGTGAAGAAGTTTACATATAAAACACTGAAATATGATGAATCATCTTTTGTTAAATTTATTTTGAGTATTTTCATACAAATATATTTACATGTATGGACGAGGCCTTAATTACAAGACTAGTTTCTGCGCACATAAGAGACAATAAATATTGGGTCAGTAAAATTTGCCCTTAATAAGAGCAAAATAACATACAATATTAATAAATAACCAATAATGTTTCTCAAACAAATATCTTACATTCTTACCACACGTAATGGGTATACAGTAATAAATAATTACTTTTACTTTGATTTATGTTTCAACAACCAAAAGTAAATCAACCTGACGATTACAAAATCTTGTTGAAGCTATACCAACAGTAGTGTCAGGTACCAATTGTAAGTTCGAATTAATACTGGGAGACGGGAACATATTAAGGATGACGATATAAATTACTAAAGAAAAGTATTAAATATATCGAGGGAAATATGTTGCAGGAAGTGAGCTCACATTGAAATTATGTTATTCACTCACACAATCACTTGATTATAACCTGAACATCTTTGGAAACTCAGAATGTACATACAATGTTCCAAACTATAATGGTCAGTTAGCCACTTTTACAAACTCCGCATTGTCATATCCTCCCCGACCTCCTGCAAAAACTGTTGTGATTCCTTTACGATCTATAGCTCTCACTCGAACAAACAAAAACGCAGCTACTAAACTAGCTACAATAAGCACCAACAGGAGCATAACTAGTCCAGCTACAAAGCTTGGAACTGACATACATATTGTTTCTTGATCGGTTGGCGACAATGACGATGACTGTATGACGACAGTCTCGTTAGTCTGAGTTGGATTTAAAGCGAAGTTAACATCTCCTGGTGCAACTACTTGAATAGTCCGACTAGTATTAACATCGGTCATTTCTTGAGATTCACGTTTGTAAACATGATGGGTGACGACGAATGTCATCACGTCATCACTACTACGTCTTTTTCTTTTCGCACCTTGTAATTCGGCAGGCAAATTCTCCACCGAACGCGGTCGACCTCCCAGTGTGGCTAAATTTCCTTCGAACTCTTCGGGAATATTGCTCTTTCTCTTTACAGTGTTATAAGTTCCATGGTGTCCTGGTGGTGGTGGAGGTGGCAAATGGATATCGTTACTTGTTTGTGGAGAAATCTGAGGTGGTGCTGGAGATGACAAATTGGGTGGAGGATTTGAAGACGTAGACGACGATGTTATCTGAGCTTGTGGTGCCGGTACGACGTCAGGGTTGTTTTCTGAATAAGCACCAGTAGGGCCAGAAGGATGTCTTGGATCTGGAAAAGCGGCTGGAGGAACTCCATATTCGGCTAGAGATGGAGTACCGTATTCATCGTTAAGATTATTATGGCCACCAAAATCTCCATTTACGAGAGAATTTCCAATAGGTGGAAGTCCGTATTCGCTGGTTAAACCGACACTGTGATGACCTCCACATTTAGGTTCAGGGCAATTATATCTGCAAACTTGAATTACACATTGGAAGTGTACGTTCATCGAATCTGGGAATTTGAAAGCTTGGAAGTATGCAAATGATACTACAGAAGCTGAAGGACCAAAGTTCTTAATTTTCTGGAATTTACTCATGATCTTCGGCCTTACAACACAACCGTATTGGTCTACCAACTGAATCGGTGCACGTTTGCCGTCATGAGCGACACAGTTTCGGACCAGCATGTCAAATTTGTTTTCGTCGTCTTTGATCGCTAAGACCATAGTCATGGTCTGACCAATTTTTACAATACCGGAAACTTCAGAAGCCCATGGACCTTTGCCTACTTGAATTTGCATCCAGCATTGTAAGTTATCTCCTAAGAAGTTAGCCGTAACTGCATGCAGCATATCTACTTGGAACGGTCTGAATGTCACAGCTTTTTCGTAAAAATCGTACCACGTGCAACGTAATTTACGAGCTTGATCCCAGACTTCTTGCACATACGGATCGTACTGGATGATAATCGTATTTTCCACGTAACTTCCGCTGGGTGTAGGTCCACCATAGCCAGCTGTGTTATGATTAGCAGACGAAGACATGCCACAACTATTAAGAAAAATTTCAAACGTTGCACTTAAATGTCCAGTCCCTGGTTTAAGATGAACACAATGGGGATCGCTGTAGAATCCTTTTGAGAAAATCATTCCATAAAACGGACGATCAAATTCTATGTTAACTCTCATATGCGTCTTTTCGCACTGAACTTGCAAGTGTTTAATTTGTGGCATGTCTGGAGTTGCCAGAGGCCACGGATCATCCGAGGAACCGCCTCCACCTCCTTGTTGCAAAATGGCTGGTGGTACATATCCTGCACCGGATGACGACAAAGGAGGTCCATAAACGGCTCGATGTTCCAAAGGTAAAGAAGCAGAATCGGAAAGCGGCGGTGCATCACACTGTATTTCCTAAATATGGAAACAAAATCTGTAACTTGAATAACAAACATCAAACACTCACTCACCTTTAGAAATAGTATGATTAGAATTCCGAGTGAACAAAATTTCAGTAATCCTGTCATACTGCTGCCAAACTATGTCAGTAGCACTAAGTTGTTTATAGATTCTGAAATTAAAATTGTAATAATGTAATAATGTTTAAAAAGATGGACGGATGATTAAACATTGCCTTAATCAATTCCAACGTAACGTAAAACGTGAACAGGTTGTATCCGCAGCTCAAAACAGACTCTGACCCACTAACACACTCTGTAAACACAGTTCAGCGTCCTTTATGGCAAATACATTATAAACAGATTATTAAAATTATTACTTTTATTAAATTATTCGTCTTAAGCTTTTGATTCACATTTGCAGCAGCTGCCTATCCGCTGCATATGAAAACTTTTTTAAGGATACACCCATTAGTTTTTTATTCATGTTTGATTACTACTGTACTATTATCTAAAAATAAAACTAATACTATTTAAATGTATCTGCAATCTCAGATAATGATAAATCACTAGTCACAAGTTCTTGACCTTGTCTTGCTGTTTTGCAGCAGGAGAAATGCAGATGCCGGAGCACTAGAGCAAAGAATTAAGTATCTATTTCTCATCACCGACCGACATTCCTCCTAGTATACTCTCATTAGAAAGTAGAACATGCATTCTGTTCGATGTAGATTAGTGTTTTATTGCTCTTTTTAGCATCAATGACGATCAACGAAGAAAATATATTCACTAATTATAATATTACATTAGATGAGAAATATTCGGTCATATTCCAATTCACTCCGTTAATATGTATTAATAGTATCATTAATAACACAATTACAGCAATCTTAATGATAAATCTACAACAAACTAATTAGATTGTTAATGTGAACGATTATTTGTATTTTAAGTGATTGTCGCAAAAATCGTAAATTACTTTCAATTTACTTTTTATTGAAATTTCTATATGTATTGTTGTCATCGTAACAAGGATTTTTTTTGTATTTTCTCTTTTTATTGTTTTTGTTTAGAGAGCAGAACTGTTCAACAAAGCTTAGCACTACATTGTTTCTGTGACTTTTCCTTACAACATTTGCAATAAAAACAAAAAAATTATATCATTTAAACAATTTAAATTAACTTTTATAGACACAAAAACAATGGTCGTTACTTTTCAACATTTCGCCTTTTTTTGCAACTACAAACTGAAAATATATTCGCGGTTTTATATGAATGAATAAATTATACTACTCTTATGTGAGTGTCGAAAAATATAGTTTTTTCAACGAATTACGTACCGAAGATATTTTGTCCAAATTCCAATAAAATAATATTCCAATTGACAACAAAACTAAAAATAAATGATTTCTGTGTTCTCAAAGTTTATAATATACCTACAATGTGAACTGCAAGTACCCCGTTTGCGACTTACATCGAGAAGGCAGAAATTTTAATACTAAATAGCTAACGCATTACTGTAGCCCTTTGTTATAATCATCTGCAATACGTCACAACAAACTGGAACAATTTTGAATTATTTGATGGAAAAATTTATTCTAGATTATGTAGTTGAAATCGTAATATTATTCATAATTTTCTGTTCTAACAGATACGTATTCGTTCTAATTCACTTGCAGATACAATTTATGTAAAAAATAATTGCTCTGAATTTCTTCTTCCCCGAAATGAGGTTTTACTTGCTGGTAACTAGGTCATTTAGAGATTGGGTGAAACTAATCGCTTGCTTTATTTTAATTATATTAACGTCATTACTTTTATATGTTTTTTTTTTTATATTCAGAATTTCAAAAGGTTTATTATGAGTTTCAAGGTTATCATACAATAATTATCAATTGCCACCCAAACCTGAGACTTTTTTCATCCTTTGCGATATATTGTTATGTCGAGTTTTTTAAAAACTATTGTATTGATAACATAGCTGACACTCGGGAGTAATAACATGCATATGTAATGGCAGCTTAAAGACAGTTTTAAATGAATTTCATTAATTTTAGAAAATAGCCAAAAGGCGCGCTTTAACTGCGACCTATAAATTTAAAATAGTTATTGTTTTTTATTATTTTTTTTTTTTAATACATACTCGTTTTCCAACACTAACAAAGTATATACACGTACACTTCTTGATGCAAAATTTTGAACGCTTTATGATTAATAACCTTCACACATGTGATCATTTATATTAACATTAAGACAAAATCAAATAAATGATGAAATAAGCAAAATTTCTCGTTGAATATCAATATATGGTCAATTGAAAAATGTCTATGAAGATCGTCAATCGGTATTACATATATGTATTAAGGTCATATTTTGACCAAAAATTATTGAATATTCGTTACGTACATATTGCTAATATATTATTTTACAGCAAATGCGATACTGTATTTGGTATGTAACTAGACAAAAATACGAAGAAAGTCCGGTCCTTTGATAGTTTTCCGCACGTAAACTACTACCTAAACGTTCGTAATTAAATTTGAGACATCCAATACATATTTTCCAGAAATACTTAATTATTTGAGTTTTCAGTGATTTTCTTTTTATCTTGTAAGATTTGCACTAACAATTGTATCATAAGTGACAATTCACTGGCTGCGATATTTTTTAGCTCAGTTGTTGCAAAAATAACAACAAAAGCAAATAAATTAATATTATTACAGGAATATTTTTACTAACTCGCGACCGGTAAACATTGCGTTTAAATCTATCTTCTATTAGCAATTATAACTGGACAATAACGTGCGAAATGTACTTCATAGATTGTTGATATTACACCTTTTCAAAATATATGTCGGCGAAGATGCGCCTGCGTGCGTCTCCGAAGTCCATTGACACACTGCCTTGCTTTCATTTCCACTGTGTGCCCAATACAACATCATTTACACAGAGAGACGATCTTAGCCAAATAATAATTAATCACTGGGAGGTGTTTTTTGCGTTTGTACTTTTGATGATTACCAATCACTAACACAATTTATTTTGACACATTATCGAATGGATGTCAACACTAGATCTTATTCACTTTTTCATAGTATGCGGATTTAAACAAGCGTCTTCCACTAATTTTGGAAACGCATTCGTTTTTCTTTTTTGCAATTTGTAATCAATCTTCGATAAATCCCGAAATGTGGCTGTATTAAAACACTACACCATCGTCGTAGCTTTTCCTATTCTGCTCTTTACTTACTTTTGTAAACTTTCGAACGTGTTTTACACTCACTCTACACCCTTGCACTGTTATCACAAGAAACGTCACCGTAATCCGACTCGTGTGCACCAAGACGTTCAGTTGAACGAAAAGTAATACACTTTAAAATCTTCCATTGGTTTTATATTGACGTGAAAGTTAACAGCCCCCACTCTTAAAATAAACCACTAGTAGAACAGTGTTAAAGCTTTCTGAAGAGCTTAGCTGCCCGGATCCTGTGATTATCTTACTAGCACGTATTGTAAACTGATTCCGGATTTTTACCTTAATGACAACTCATTCGGATCACTTTCATTATTTATTTAGTTGACGCGCTGAAATGTACGACATAGTTCATTATTAATCAGAATCACTCATTGTGGAATCTTTATTTATTTCGGCGACAACCCGCGAAAATGTAGGTGTTCCGTTTCCGCTTGTCTGTCGTCTGGCATCTGCCGTTCATAACATGTAGTCTGTTTGTGATTTATGAGAATTAATTTCCGACCCTACTGAAGACTGTTGTGAAATTTTAGGCATATTTCAGAAATATCTAACCAAAATGTTTCTGATCCATTCCCACCAAAAATTTACACTTGTACTTATAGAAAATGTCCCTAAAACTGAATGAATGAATTTATTTTATTGATTAAATCAAAAACAGTTTATCTAATTTTTCTGAAATTCTGGAAATACAGTACTGTCGTTTTTAGTATTGCACTATATCTATTCAAATTGACATATTACACTGTGCTAAAAAATTATTATTTTTTTTTACATTTTATTAATAAGAACTCACTTGAATCATACGCATATTATATTTTTTTGTTGTAATTTAATAATCCGTGACTATTTATACTTTAACTTACACAAAAAAGTAAATACAATTTGCAGAAAGAGAAAGGTTCCATCTAAATAACGTAAGACCAACTTTTTTTGAGGGGTCAAAGCAGACAAATTTTTGTCTCACAGTCTCGACAAACTTATCAAATAACACTAAAGAATAACTAAGATAAACAAAAGTTTTTTAATTTTACTTGAGTATTAAGATAATCTATTTTAAAAAAATCTGTTTACTACTAATTAATAGTTTTACTTGCAATAAGGATCTTTTTACAATCTGACATTTCATTAAAGTCATACAAAGAAAGATAAATTCTTGGTAAACTTTCTTGATACCATATTAGACGTTCACCGACCCTTACACCTATAAAAGCTTTGCTTGCTTTCTTAAAAAAAAAAAAAAACATCAACAAAATATCTAGTCGCTTGTTCACATCTTCCTTTGATACGTCATGTTAATGATTTTTCTTCTGAAAATTTCCAAATTCTTTTTGGTATACGCTTAGTATAAACTAATTTTTTACACGTTATGACAGTTTTTAAACCCCAAAAAAGTATACATTTTCTAAAAAAAATAAAACATTTCCATTTTTCATAGATTTGTTGATGCTAGTCGACTGCCCTCATTGCAGAAAATACTTAATATTCACCAAAGATTGTCACAATAAAATGGTAATGACAGACCGTAACCATCTGAAAGTTTTCTTGACTTGTATCAATTGACATTTTTTACTTGTATCTCAGTGTCATCAAAAATATTAAATATCAGGTACAATGATCAAAACGATGGAATTAGTGTAACCTTTAAGTGGATTTGTAAAAAATAATGTGAATGAAATATGGAAATAAATCAAAATTTCTCAACGAAATGGAGAAAATTTATAACCATAACGGAAGCATGTTCAGATTTTGTATTTAATGATTTTTTCGTGGCCATTCAATTTTTTTATCAACTGTGGTATCAAGAATAAATACTTATTTCATTATCTAGCTGGCTTAATGTATTTATTCAGTTATGTAAGTGTACGTCCCCATGAATGTACCAGCATATATTTTGTATCCGGGTAAGTACATAATGAGACTTCGATTTGTAAGTGAAAGCTTGTGACTAACCCGATGTTTCGTCATGACTTTTCCATATACATATAATTACAATAATTCAAGAGGGTACAAACTGGTGTGTCGACTGATAAGTCACAAATAACCACTTTTCTATTCAAACTGAATTGTTTCAGATCTCCAATGTTGCATTAAACGACCGTCACGTTCTCACGTTTCGTAAATGTTAGGGGCATTCATCAATTGATTTCTTTTCGACATGATAATAGACATTTTTTTCTTTAAGTTCATAATTATGATTTCATGTCAGTTCAAAACAAATGTTGTGTCCACAGCTTAAGACGAAATTTTACTTATTTTCACAAAAAGTTAACGCAATATAATATTTTGATAATTATTGTGTTCGTATTTTATTTACATTACCTTTGTATTATTACAGCTCCTCTGACTCCGTGATGAAGGGCATCGGCATTTTGCCGCCTTACTTCAATTTAATAATAACACTATTAATAATAATAATATAATAAGTTATTTTTAATTTAAGAAAAAAATACATTCTACTATCGACTATTTGTCGGAATAATGATAACAAATAACCCGGAATTTTATCACCTAAACACGATCTATACCTAAGCGTGAAGAGTAAAAGTGTAAGAATAAATTCGGTTGTAGTTAACTGTTACGTTATAAATAACAACGATTTAAATTACTTTATTTTGTGAAACCGTTAATTGGTGATAATTAAATTCAAATATAACTGTTAAGATTTAAAGTTAATTACTTATATGATTTTATAAAAATGTAATATTATGCTCAATATTTGGTTCCATTTGAGTAAAATTTAAATTTTCTTTAATTAATATGTTCCAAATTCTAATAAACACTAGACTTTTTAACAATTGAAGTTTTTAGGTTACTAAGTGTTTAGTTAATTATAATCATTTCCAAATGATTTTTCGATTATTGGACAAGTTCTATGAACGTGAAAATAATGCACATCATTCATTACTGTTGTTGTGATGAGTATGAATTTATATAAATTTAAATGATATTTATATTAATACATATATATATTAAACGATCATCGGCTTAAGAATTTAGTATTGTATGACACATACTTGCCTACGTATACTATTTACAACTTTCCCTTACCGGATACCCGGATAGGGAAAAGACGTGAACTCTACAAGACGGTACACTGCGTAGGGTTTGTGACGCTTTCTTCTTTCTTGTTACCTTGAACCGACTTTGTCGGTCTGCTGAGTGAGGTCATTCAGTTTCGACAGGTAAGAGTAAGACCAAATTCTTACAAAAACTGCAAAGACAGAGATGCAATTTGTGTACAGTATTATATAAACTTGTGATAATATAATTATTTAGATATATAAAGTGTGCTATTTTTTTACACGTTACTAAGTATTACTAAACACATTAACAATTTTTTTTTTGTTTCAAAAAATCTAAAATATTAAAATCAAAACTGTTTAAATAAAAATTGAATTAACCTAAACTGCTTATTTACATTTTAGCCGGTTGAAGTTTTCTTTTTTTTTTTTGTCCAATTTGTAGGTCTTTTTTATTGTAGTTCTTAATACTCTGCGCAAAAAGAAGATTGCTAGGTAAAACAGTTTGGACAATTTCAACGAAAGAAAAATAGGTTTTGTCTTTAAAATGCAGTGTGTTTTATTCCACGTGGTCTATACATGCAAGCAAATTCTACATAAAAATCTACTTCCTATAAAGTTACATTTTTGAGACCATTTTTTTTGTGTTTTTGGAGTGGAATAAAAACGTTATAGTGTTATCGCACATCGAGCGGTCAAAAAAGATATCAAACACCTACTTAGGAACGTCATTAGTTTTATCGTAACACTTTCCATTAGAGATAAATTGAGAAAACTTTTGTTTTTTTAATAAACTAGGCCTTTGCCACTATTCCTTCTAAAGTTTATTATTTTGAAATATACTAAATCAAAATTTATAGGTAAATGCCAGTGGATACGGCTTAAAAATTCCTTTTCAAAAATATTTGTACAATGAATTTTGGTATCGTCTAAAATTCTGTCGTAAAATGGTGTTCTTATATAGGCAAAACAACGATATTTTTTAAAGTAATTAAAATAAATGGTAGGTCTATTAAAAATATATATAATAATTAAATAATTAGATATGTACCGACTGTAGGTCTGGCCGACTAACCGACTAGCCGATTGTTCGGCCAGTAAAAACCGACTAGTCGGCCGACTGTTCGGCTTTGCTAAAACCGGTTTATAAATGCGACAGTGTGTTTTTTTTCTATTTCTCTGACTAACTTAAAAATTTGTTTTATTTTAATAAAAGGAATTACTAAAGTTCCTTTGTTTTCCAAAAAATGTGTTAAATTTGTTTGGATAATTTTAACATTTAATTTTTTTTAGTAACTCAGTACAAAAATAAAGAATAACACAATTTAGGGCCAGTTTATACAATATTTTAACTAAGATTAAGTTGATCGCGCATTTAACAAGGCCATTAGCGACGTCTCATTGGCGTAGAGTCGGTCACATGGTACTTTAACGCGGGGTTAAAAATTAAATCGCAATTAAATATTTAATTGAGGTTCTGTAAATCGGGTTTAATTGTTTTATATACTATTTTAATTTTAATAAAAGAAGCCGACCGATCGGCTGTTTAGCCGACCAGTCGCCGACTGCCAGCCGACGATGAAAAACGGCCGAATAGTCGGCTTATCCGACCGGTCGGCCACTAGTCGGTACATCCCTAATAATAATAACAAAAACTGTCACTGTTCTGTTTTCTATTTAATGATATTCCTTAATAAGCTGATACTGTTTTTCTAACATACTGACAGAAATACAAAATTTTATGTGTAATTTGACCAATGCGGATAAAGGTAAAAATAGGAAAAATTCATATTATAAGTACAAGAAACAGTTTTTTTCGTACTTTACATCATTTGAAACGATTGTCATAAATTGTAGTATGATCAGTTTATCTTTAACTTAATGACAGAAGAAAAAACTGCAATATATGGACTAAAGAACAGTAGATTGAACACGGGCTTACTTGAAACTGTAAAATCTAATAAACTGCTTTGGCCCCAAACAGTTCTACATTTATTAATACTCTTCAAGTAGTTTGTCAGCAATTATATTTCGTAGTTACGTCGTCTAGACCACTTTGCAGTTACGTCACTGGCGGGTGTTAGTGCACTAGT